AAAACCTATTTTTATATTAGTTACTTTTAGTTTAAGGACAAATGTTAAGAAGGACATTCCACCACTAAATGTCCTTGGTGGGCGGTATGTTCAAGACCAAACTTATTAAACCAAAAAATATATTTGTTCAAAGTTGTCTCATAGCTCGATAGATGGCGTTGTCGCAATTAAAATCGAGCTATGGTTTCGTTACCAATGAAACTATAAGGTAAAATTGATTTGTAAGACCAAAATGTCTAATGCAATACTAATGTCAAATATATAGAACATATACCAGCTTAGATCAGTACACAGAGGCGGTTTTATTTATATTCACCCCATCTTGTGTGCTAGTAGGTCAGCAGTTCACCTACTATCGCTAGAAAATATAATGTTTAAAAAAGTTTTGATACTAACATATTTGTAACTACTATTAAGTTTTTAATGTATGGATATATGTATATATGTAATTTATTAAGTTCCAACAATAATATTTTTGAGTTAATTAACTGTATAAAATTATTGTAACAAACGCCCAATTAAAAATATACCGCAAGTATCTCCTAAAACACTTTTGCTCTAACATTTTTATCAGGCGCTCGTATTTCTTTTCAAGCGTTCGCCACCTTGAACATTAATGTCTCAATTCAGTGGAAATAGCCTAAAACACCAATAAAAAGTGTAGCCAATTATTTAATATGGATTAACAGACCTCAGTACATTACAGGATGACCCATTAGGCTGTTGTGGTGAACGAAATTGGTGTACATTTGGCCACCGCAATGTTGCAGCTAAATCGGCCAAATACTTAATTTCGTTATGGTTACAGCAACTGTAATTGTTCGGCTGTTCCTAACGTTTAATTTCGGCATTTGAATTTTTTAACACTGCGGATATTTTGGACTGTAATTATGGACAGAGTTTTGCATATTTAATTGTATGAGTTTCATGCTTTGTAATTGCGATATTAATTTGCTTTGTAGAAATAAATTTTAAGTACTAAAGATATCATTTTCAACCTAAACTTTAATTAGAAAACTTGTTTTTTTGATGTTATCTTGTATTGTGTGCACGAAATTTTTGCATTGTTAAATAAAAATGAATATTACGTTTCATTGTAAAACTCTTGCCGCACACTTGCTTTTGTTATTTTTGATGTGTCCATAACTTTTTCTTTGAATTGTACAAATCTTCAATGATAACCATTGAAAATTTTGTAAAATGTACATCTAATTAATACTCAATACGTCAACTTGCTATAAAATATTTGAAAGGCATGTTTCTTTAATGTTATACATATCGAATTTTTGTGATCAATATACTTTATTATTATTTTTCATTAAATATGAGTAGAGAATACAAGGTATTATCAATTGTATGCCTTGTGGGGCTTATAACTTGAGTTCGTTACAATCCATTCAGAGGCAAAATACGTAAAAATATAAGAAAAAAGTAAGCAATAAAACTCGTAGGCTGACTTGTATTGTATCGTACCATTGTGGGATATTGAATTATTTATGTTCCTTACTTTTTGTGACGAAGTAAATAATATAAATTATTGTACCAGTGACGGATTCTGTGAGACACTCTAATATTATAAAATTAAGCCGTTTGTATTATAAATTAAAAAGTTTGTTGTTAATGCAAACACAATGTTATGCAGCATTATTCGACACGAAAATGCAATGCGTCGATCCTACAAAGAATTATTCTGAACTGATTTTTTTTAGTTAAAAGAACGTTGTACATTAGGATTTCCTACTGTATCGTGGGTCCGTTTACATACGTACAAGTTCACATACATATGACACCTAGACCCGAAAAAACAATTTGTGAATCACACAAAGAGTTGCTCCGGGCGGGAATCGATCCCGCTACATGTTGGGCATCAGCTGATTGTCCAGCCACTGTGCCAACCGTGCAGTCTACATGAAAACTACATGTTATATATTTTGTCTTTCAGTCACTGCCTCAAATGAGCAATGAAATGGCATTAAATTAAAATCCCGAGATTGAATACTAAAAATATTCTCAATATATTCACGTGAGTAACCCGCGATTTTTACTTAATTTAGTATGGCTCACGATAGTTATTATAAAACAATAAAACTGCATATTGTTTTTAATATTGACTGGGTTACTTCTGCCTTCAACTGCAGCTTAAAATAGCAATAACTAAATCCATCCCTGTTTGATACTTACAGATTTGAGACTTGAGAGGGGAACAAAAAAGTACCTGAGATTGATGTTGTCTCGATAAAATAATCAATTTAAATAAAGATAAATAACTAGTTCTTTGTCTATTTTGAACCACCTTCAAAACAAGGGAGGTTCTCAATTTGACATATAGAATAGAATATAATAGAATAATTTATTTGCATTGAATGTAGGTACATAATATAAGGTGTTACAAAGGTACGTCGTTCCTGGTACATTCTACCATATGGCATGCAAATTTTTGTTTTTTTTTTTAATCTAAAAATCTATGAACATTGTGGACTATAATACCTACTATGTAAGTTATCTATAAAACTATTATAATTATTAATGGATAACATAATCCTAATAATATTTGAAAATTTACAAAATTCACAAAATATAGCTTAACAGCAAATCAGTCTATATGTTATCGAATAAAAAATCTGACACAGAATAGTAACACTTTTGTAATAACAAAGATGCAAGTTGTTTTTTAAAGATTCTCAATGGTTGCTCCTTAATGCTACTCGGAATCTTGTTATAAATGATAGGTGCCATACCTAGGACACTTTTTTTTAATAAAGATGTTTTGTAACCACCGGTACATAGCTTGTCTTTATATTGAGACCTTATAGTTGTATTCCGGTTAGTTGTATCCTTTAAAGTAGGGAATAATTTGATGTTACTTTTGACAAAAATAGAAAGTTCTAATATGTAAATGCAAGGAAAAGTTAATAGTTTACTATTTACAAAGTAAGTTTTGCAGCTGTCTGTAACATTTAGTTTAAACATAGCTCTTAAACAGCATTTTTGGGCTTTAAAAATATTTTCCCGCTCACAACAATTGCCCCAGAATATAACACCAAATCTCAGATTTGACACTACCAAGCCATGATAAGCGACATATGTATGTCTGTATACTTGTGCGTGAATATCTCACGATTGGCTGAACCGATTTTGATGCGGTTTTCAGAAAAGTGTTTTTTACACTTTTTTGAGGGGGAAAATTATTCATTGCCTTCTCCTGCTTCGATAAGGCGAGAGGGAGTGTCAGACTCTTACTGACTAAAAACCACCCCGTCCCTACTCCAGCACTTAGAGTTTAGTTTATTAATTACCCGACTTCAAAAAAAGAGAGGCTTAAAATCGGTGTTTTAAACGTATTTTATAAAAGAATTATCTATACTAGGTATATAGCTCGAGGAAATTAAATAATCAACAACATGATTGTTTGAGTCATATTAAACAAGATTTGAAACTTAATTTAATTAGAAAAACTTCTAATTACCCTTTTGGCAAACAAAACGTTCGTGTTATTCAGTGCTCTGCAGTGCCTCATTACTTTAAATTATTCAAATCTGTTTAAAACATCTCCTAAGAGAAAAGCAAAACAGTCTCAGACACATAGATAAAATCTTGCTTCAATCTCTTAATTTCTTGCTAGAAAACTAAGTAAGTTTAAAACTAATAAACAAAATTAAAGAAAATTTTCGCTGTAGAAGGAACATTTCATCCTGACTTGACCCTGCAAATCTTGAAAGCATAAGATGCTGGCTAAGAAAACATAAAACGCAGACGTTACAAAAACCATTTCCAAATAAAACAGTTGCAAGTCTAGCCTTAATGAAGGACTAATTAAATCTTAGCTGTATATTATTGTTAGGTATGTAGGTAGGTGTGCGTGTGCCGACGCACCAATAAGTGCCAACAATAAACGTCAGTGCGTTACTAGCAAGCAGTGGTTTCACTTGTGTCCCCGTATCTAACAATTATACTGTGTAATCTGTTGAGAGCTGAGAAATACTACTACGATGTCTTCGGTCTTGGGTTTAGAATTTGATTTTCGAATAGTTGTGCGTTGCAATTGTTTTTTTTATTATCTTTGAGTCGTATTAAAAAAAAACTATAGGAAACTTTGATTTTAGAATCTATATCTAATTCACTTTAAACCTTAGCATAGCCGACATACATAATCACTACATAGTATAAAACAAAGTCGCTATCCTCCGTCTGTCTGTCCCTATGTGTGCTTAGATCTTTAATACTACGCAACGGATTTTGATACGGTTTTTTTAATAGATAGAGTGATTCTTAAGAAAGGTTTATGTATAATACATGCACATTGCTCCCGAGCTAAGCCGAAGCAGGTCGCTAGTTAGGTACATAATATACTAATAGAAAATACCATTCGGCATTAAGTCCGCCATTGTATAATTATACAATGGCTGCCGATGCGTACATTATTGTGTCCGTAATGTATTATAAATAAATATTCATATTTTAAATAAACATTTCGTGTATTAGTCGCTAAAGTAAAATTAATTTTATATATTTCAATTGACTCTTTAATGCTATGTGATTTATTTAAGTACACATTAAATGGGTATATAGAAAGCTTGCAAGCAAATGTAGAATCTTGGAAAAAACTGTTCTGACTTCATTTAAGACAGAGAAAAGCTAGAATTGACATAAATTTATATAATAAATTCAAAGAATCCGGGAAAACAATTTCCATGTAAAAGCGATATCTAAGGCTTTTCAGAATAATTAAACAGATGTTCCTCCTAATAACACTTGCTGTTCATTTTGTACCTTCATAAAATTCTGAACACGTGCTCTCATAACGACATTGTGTTGCCACAAGTTATGGGCGGATGGAGGTAGGTCTTGACTTTTAGGCAATCTGTTATGTGGAAACTCTTTGATATTAAATTTTGATCTCTTAATATCATTATTATACCATATGTAAGTTAAGTTACTTTCTATTCACTATTTAAAGTATGCTTCAAAACCAATCTCAATGTCATTGCAATTTCAACACAATAATTATTTACTGTGAACACTACACAACCCCTCGTAGCTGTTAAAATAGCATTCAGAGTACAGAATATAATGCCAAACTCCATACCATTTAGTTCTTTAAATATCTAAGCAATACGGATGCAATGGGCGCTAGTGTTGCACCTCCAGAGTACGAAATTTCACATTACCAATGTCGATCGATCGAAATTGGATTCAAGAGGAATCCCTCTAGAAAGAAAAAAAGGGTTTATATATTTCGCTCCACAAAATGATTTGGTGTTTATGAAATACATGTTTTTATTTGACTCCCAGATGAGATGATAAACGTCAACTTACCACTTACTCCAATTAAAATCCCAATATAACTAATACTGATTAGTTCACAAAACCAAAATAGTCCCATTGAAATTTTGTTTAACTTGAAGATTAATTTTCGGTCTCGTTTACAATCAGTTGACCAACGAGACAGTCAAGACTAGACAAAGTTAACTGTTAACGACTTCTTCCCCATAAAATAATGACTTCTGGCAGAAATTGGGTTTTTTTAGTTAGTCTTTACTAAGGCATATTCTACGGCTGTAACAAATGTTGTTAAAATTGATTAAGTACCTACCTAGGTTAATAACCTACTTACGAAATGAATTTATTTTCGTGGCATCCAAAAATAAACAATCTCACAGGGGTTTTACCCGTATCTTCTATCTCCATTTCTGGGTCTTTTAGTATTACCCGCTATATCCCTTATATTATACCAAACCCAAAAAACTTCGCATCCGGAATCCAGCAATTTGCACCTTCATATCATTAGTGATTTGGACACTAATCGCCATCTGATGG